AGATTAAAATACAAAAGATGATACAGAAAAGAAAAAACAGAAAATTCGGAGACGATAATATAGATTTAAACCTTTTAGCATATAATTTCTTTTGCAATATTTTTCTAAAAAGTTTTGGTAATGAAAAAGGGCGACAAATTAACAATATACTTTACAAAATTTTATTTTTATAAAAATAAATTGTAATCCTTTTTATTATGAGCGATAATAAAAAGAATTCTATAATAAATGATGTCTATTATGATAGGGCAGGTTTCGGGAGCAAAAAACAAACATTGAAAGATGCAAGAGAGAAAGATAAAACTATTACAATGGCAGATGTTGATAATTTTTTTAGAGAAAATGTTGAACAGAAGAAGCAGATAAGAGGAAGAAACACCTTTATAGCACCAGAACCTTTTTACGAATTTCAATTTGATTTGTTTTTTATAAATGACCTCCAAAATCAAAAATTCAACATCGGGGCGATAATGATTGATGTGTTTAGTCGGTTTATGGTGGTAGTCCCGATTAAAAACAAGAACGAAGCAAGCATAGCATCGGGAATCATAGAGGGCTTTAACAAAATGGGAGGAAAGCCAAAAATACTTTATACCGATGACGAGGGGGCATTACAGAAGGAAGCAATACAAAAATATTTGAACGACGAAGGCATACAGCACCACAGAACCAGAGCACACGCTAATTTTAGTGAGAGAGCCATCAGAACATTTAAGGATATGCTTTATAAAAGAGTTGAAGCCGACGAAAAGAAGGGAAAAAAAAATATCCAATGGACGGATTATATTTTTGAAATTTTGCTAACATACAATAACAAAATGGAACATTCGGCTATAAAAATGACACCGAAGGAAGCAATGAAGGAGAAGAACGAATTGAAGGCAAAACAAAATATGACCAGACAAGCAACCAGAACCCGAAAGTATCCCGAGATATCAGTGGGCAGTAAAGTTAAAATTTACAGGAAAAGGAAAGCCGGAGAAAAAGAAAGGGTCAGTTTATGGAGCAAGGAAACATATGAAGTAGAAAGAATAGAGGAAAGGAACAACCAAAGTAATTTTTATGTAAAGGGCAACAGCCGACCATATTTAAGATTTGAACTTTTGAAACTTTAAAAAATATATAGAAATTTTTATTATAAAAATTTTTCTTTAAAAATGGTTTAAAGAAAAAATAATATATAAATATTAATATATAGTTTATAGTATGAACAAGTTTGTAGAGAGCAATGTCAGGAAACTGAACAAACTGAAACAGGAGCGAATCAATAGCGCGAACAAAATCACCCAAACAACAAAAAACAGGCTAAATCAGATCGTATCACTTTACAAGGATAGGAAAATTGCAAATGTAGCAACCGCCGAGAACTTCATAAAAAACCTTACCAGCACCAATAAAAGAACAGCAGAAAAAGCGAGGGACAAATACAACGAAACAATCAAAGACCTTAAAAAGTCAAAACCCCTGAACGAACGAATAGCCGAAAAGAAAAGTATGAATACTTATTTGGTGAATTTTCAACTTTATGTGGTTAAAGACCCTGCAAAAGCAAAAATGAAACCTGCATTTACAAGAAATGGAAAAAGCTTTTATATTGAAAACTTTGACATAAGACAGGCGACTGTAAAAGCAAAAACATTTGACACTAAATGGATCAAGAAGATTATTTATAAAATATATGATACAAATGATGACAACGAAATAGAAAAAACCACTGTATTATATGATTTAGGCAATGGAGTTAAAAAATTAGTGAGCTATGTATATAAACAATTAATTGATATATTAAGGACAGATAAAGACTTTAATGAATTTATAAAGGGGTTTCAGCAAGTATACACAGATATTTTTGATGCAATCAAAATTCAACAGGTGGAACAAATCAGTAAAAGCGGTGAGAAGTTTGACATAATGAAGGAAAGCCTAACTGATGGAATACAACACGTATCGATGTATCACCGCTATATTTACACAGACCTTAACAGCAACTTAACAACATTGAGACAAGCAATTGAAAATAGCACACACGTAGAAAATCAATGTTGGATAAATTCACTATCCGATTTTTACCAAGATACCTTAATGGACTATGGCAAAAGAAACCAACTGACCAGAGAAAAAATTATTGAAATTATAGGCAGAAGCGATTTTTACAGCAATGGAGCTAGCATTGAAGAGATGGATAAGGTCTTTAAGGCATTCAAAATACCAGCTAGAATTTACAACAGCTTCAACAAAATGATTTACAAACACGAGCCCGAGCACAACAAACGAAGAATAAAGCCGTTTTATGCCATAGTAAAAAACAGCCATATATACACCATAAATAACGATCTAAAAAGTATAGAACATAAACAAAACGAAGAAGAAGAAAGACCACTGGTGAAAGCCTCCACGGACTACCATTTAAACGAAAAAGAAGAGCCACCCGAGTTTAAAATGTTCAGAGACACACACGACATTTTAAAAATGGTCAGTAAAGATAAGGAGCCGAAAACTATTCATTTAGTGCCCGAGCTAAACAATTTGACAGAGATATTTTTTGAACTAGTGAATGCTAGATATGAGCCACAGATCAGATTTCAAGCAGGCATCATAACACAAATAAAAATGAAACTTAAAAAAACCACCTTTATAATAAAAACCCAAAATCTGATTAAAGACTCGTCTGATGGATGTATCGCAGTTGATAACGAAAAAACATACAACAATATGAACGATGCAATGTTTCATTTTAACAAGAGTCTGTTTAATCCATTGCACAAGTCCTTTTATAACAAAGTGGATTTGGAAATTTACCACGAAGCAAAAACCATACCACCGGCAGGACTTTTTACAGATAAGGGTTCCATACCAAAAAACCTAACCGAGATTGACATAACCAAAGCTTACACAAGCAGACTAGTAGGGATTACACAGGTGCCGGTTTTTAATCAGTTCGATGTCTGGAAAAACTACCTTAAAGAGATGGATTTTAACACGATGTCGGACTACACTTTATTTTTCGTTGAAGATTGTAGCCAATGTGGAATTGTAAAACCCAGCACCTTTTTAATGTTTAACAAGAGGTATAACCTGATTTACGGAAAATATTTGAAACAAATTGACACCAATAAACTGAACATACTGTATTATAAGACACCATCCTTTATTCACGAGGTAAATTATAACGATTATGTAAAAGAACTATGGAACAAAAATATTAGTGACGAAGAAGAACTGGATAAACTGATTAAAAAACTTATTGTAAATGTTAATATCGGACTTTTGGAAAAAACGGGAAGCACTGACCAAAAAAGCATTGTCTTTAAGAACCTCAGGGAAGCATCGGATTTTCAATTAAGGCACGGAGGTAAAATTCACAAAATAACAGAAATGGAATGTAGAAACGAAACAACTTACGAAGGCGATATAGAAAACGATAATTTTTCTATGCAAATACAGACGACAGAAGAAGAAGGTCTGGAATATTATTTGGTTAATGTTTCAGACAAGGCAACATTAAACAACGGTTTTATTTACATTAAAGAGCTGTTGCTTCAAGATCATAATTTTAAAATGTGCCAAGATTATAATAAATTAAGGAAAAATTCTATAAAGGCAGTCAGTGTAAAAACAGATGCATTTGTTATTAAATCCGAAGATGTGGAAAAAGCGAGGGAAGTATTGGAAATGAAAGCTGGTATAGGAGAATGGAGAACGAATAAAGAAGGAGAGGAAGTAAAACTGCCAAGTGAAACATATCAAAGGAAAAAGAACGAACTGGATAAAATCCCCGTCTACAAGAATACAGCGATAAAAATTAGGGACGAATATGATACAAAAAATATCATAGAAAAAGTTATTAGCGCTAAACACGTTATGATCAGGGCAAAATATGCAGGGTCTGGAAAAAGTTATATATGTGAAAAAATGGCGCGGATGGGAATGAATGTTTTATTTGTATGTCCGACAAATAAGCTAGTCCAAAAATACGGAAAGGAAGCGGTAACAGTTAATAAGTTTTTTGCCATAGCAGTCGGTGATGAGAAGTTAGAAAAGTTTGATTATTCAGGTTATGATGTTATAGTGTTTGACGAGATTTATTTTAATGGTTTAAGGGTATTGAATAGAATTAGGGAGTTTGTTGAAAACAACCAAGATAAAATAATAGTGGCAACAGGAGATGGTAAGCAATTAAAACCAGTATCGGAATTAACAAATTTACAAGAGCACGAAGAATATGCTGATAATTGTGTTGATAAGATTTTTAAATATAATATTTATTTGAAAGTTTGTAAGAGGTTAAGAAAAGAGGAAGACAGGAAAAAATTAGAAAATATTTATATCGACATTTTTGAAAATAACATTAAGGTCAGAGAGCTAGCAGAAAAATATTTCAAATACACTTCCGACATGAACCTAAACGAAAATAATGTAGCTTATTTGAACGACACCTGCAAGGAAGTAGCAAACCAAATAAGAAAAAAGCAAAATAGAAAGGGCGAATATGAAGTAGGCGAGGTGATGATATGCAGAGAGTATTTAAAATCAACAGAATATAAATTTCAAGTAAATTTTAAATACAAGATTTTAAACATCATTGAAAATATGGTGGTGTTGGAAGACGAGCACGATAAGAAAATACAAAAATTGCCGTTAGATATGTTGAGGAAGCATTTTATATTTAATTATTGTTATACCTGCCACAGTGTCCAAGGTTCCAGCATAGAGGGAGGTATAACAATATTTGATTACAATCATTGTTTGGTAGATAAGAATTGGATATGGACAGCGATCACGAGGGCAACTGATTTAAATAATGTAAGTTTTTATAAATACGATGAGGATGATGATGATTTTAATAAAAATTGTATTTACAATTATTTGAAAAGAAAGGTGGAAGGATATAAGGAGCAAGACAGAAAAGCTAAAAGGAAAATTGACCATAAAAACTATATTACAGCAGATTGGTTATTAGATAGATTGAACGGGAGGTGCGAATTATGCAATGTAGATTTTTATGTAAAGTCAATAAACGGAAATATAAGAACGAACCTGACGGCGCAAAGAAAATTTAACGACCAAACTCACACGATAAGCAACTGCATAGCATATTGCAAAAAATGCAACTGCTGTATGAGCGACAAGGAAAAGTTTTAAAAAGATTTAGTTTTAAAAAAAACTTTTATATTATATTGTATATATGCCCGTTAGCAAAACCAAGGTTGTTAAAGAGGAGCCGATATTAGAAAAACCAAAGGAGGAAGAAGCGGAAGAATTTAACGAAAAAATTTATGATATGATTTCGGAGGTGCATCATAAAATGGATTTGATGTTAGAAAAAATTGAGGCTATCAGTGAAAAACCTAAATCCAGAACAAGCAATTTAAATACCGAAGCCTCATATACAAACAAAAGAAACGCCTATATCAAGAAATTAAACGATGGAGCAATTTTACAGCCTAAACCGGAAACAATGGAATATTATAAGGTTGTGAAAGAGGGAGATAAATATGTTTAGATTTTTTACCAAGATTTTTTACCAAGATTTTTAACCAAGATATTTTATAAAAATGCAATTTTTCAACAAATATTTTTGGAAGATTTTTAAGATGAAAATTTTGAAATATTATTTTTATGAAAATTTTGGAAAATTTTATGATGAAATTTTTAATATTTTTTATCATAAAATTATTGATTTTTTATTGAGATTTTTTGTTAGGAATGGTTGAGGGTAGGATGTCAAAAATTAGGAAAAATATATTGAAATGTTGAAAACGTATATCCCCCCCTAGGGAAAAAACGAATGAGGGTTGAGCGGGTGTAAAAAAAAGTGGGGCATACCCTGTCCTAACTATTATGCCCCCACCCCCCCCCCCCCCCCCCCCCAAGGTTTGGCCCAGATTCTTGCTGCGGCCCGTAGATCATGGCCAGAGTGCTACACCATCCATTGGAGGCCGCAAAAAGGGCCATGACTGCAAAGGCAACAACATCCTGAAGCGCAAAGTGCCACGTACGGCTTCGGCTACTGACAGCAGCAGTGGGCTTTTCCTACTTCCCGAACCACGGCACCTGCCAGGGAGCTGCGATTGAGTTGGGGTAGCGCTGCAGAAGCATGAAAGCCTGGCTGGAACAGCGGCTGCGACGTGCACCAGGCTGGGTGTTGCCCAAATTCTTCAAAATGCGCCAAGGAACTGGGATGAAGACCAACCGCAGCCAAACCGGGATAAACAGCCTCCTCGGAGAAACTCCGATCTTCTCGAGCGCCTGACACGAAAACGAACGAAAACCAGTGGCCCTGTGGGTTACGCCTCTTGAGAGGGGGGCTCTGCCTTGGGTGTCGCCCGACCTACCACATCAAAGATCTGGAAGATGCCGATCACGAGCGTCGCGTACCAGTCCTTGCCCAACGGACCTGTCTTTCACATGTGGCAAAATCGGACATAAGAAGAGTCTGTAGGATACCCTGACAATGACAGACAACAATAGACTGTTACGATTTGTCTCTTTGGGAGGCCAAGCCGCCTTTGCTGACAAAGAACTCCAGCTGCGGAGACCAGGTGGCCGCCACGCCGGGAAACACCACGAAGGTCACCACGAAGATCACAGAGACGTTCACAAGCTGAGGGACCACATCCTCCCGACGGTCAGTCATGGACAGCCACGGCGCATGTGTATCATGTGTTCAGCCATGTGCATATCGCCATTCACAGGCATATTCACAGGCATCACAGCCTTCAGGACGGCGCCCAGGGTGCGCTGCCCAGAGATCAGCTGCCGAGCGGGGTCCGGCTCCGCCGGCTCCGAGACGGTGAAGGAGCCTCAGCAGAGAGACAGCGGCCTGCTGAGCGGCTCAGGGAAGCTGGGCTCTGTCTGAGTTCGGACGAGGCAACTGATGCGTATCACATCCGCCATCGTGGCTTCAGGCTGCCTGTTCTCCTGACCCGGATCGATTCATGAGGCTTTGCAAGCCCCCTCTTGTGAGATCATGCTCTGGGGCCCCCCATCCTGGTAAGAACTGGGCACGTACCGAACAAGGTACAAGCCGACTGCTTGTAAGGCTGCACAGAAGCCGAAGAAGCCGAACACGACCTGTGCCACCAAACTAGGCCATATGCCAATCTTGGCAGCCGGACTCTCCACGGCCATATTATGCCATGTTACCATCAATCCTATCAGCTAGTATAAGCTACTATCAGGTACCTCCTTGGTGATATTTGGCTTACCTCTTGCTGTGCCCAAACCATCAACTTCGACCCTGCCTGGTACTTCCATTTCATGGGATCTCCGGAGATGAACTTCAGCGACAGCATCAATATCGGACATAGCACGCCAACAATACCTGCAAATGTCCAGAAGCTTCAGCAAAGGACAAGCAGCGTCAAGCCCCTGCTTGCGTCATCTGTGCAGTTGGCCCAGCCTTGACCCGTCATGATGGCTCCCATCAGCTTAGGATCTCCCATTGACCCCGCAAGTCCGCAGATGAGCGACGTGAAGCAGGACTCCGCCAATCCCAAGACCTCTGCACTTGGACAGGGTGAAAAAGAATCGGGGCGGAACTCAGGGGCAGGATGATGCTCAAAAAGATCCTCCGAACTCGTGCTTCGGTCTCCAGTTGCTGGGCCAGGGCGCAGCGCAGCAAGCCAGGGCGGCGGCGAAGCCCCAGGTTGAAGGAACGACAACCTCTCCAACCTCAGCAGCTTGGGACCACGCATGTCCATCGATGATGACCATCAATGACGAAAAAACACGACAGAAGTTCCACGATGGGTTGCAATGTTGCAGGACAGGCCACCTCTTCTGGGGTCCAGAAAGCCAGCATGGGCATCGCCAGAATCATCACGAGCTGCACCGCCAGTGCTGCAAGATATGCAGGCTTGAAGGGCACCTTCTGCCCGACTTTCACCATGGTGGTGGTGCCAAGCACGTTCATCGCCTGAGCTCAAGCACAGAAAGCACAGAATCAGACGGCAGCAAGGGCCTCGAGGCCGGTCCCCGCCTGATAAGTCATGGATGCCACGAAGGCCCACTGGTGATTTGGAAACCACAGCTCAAAGAAGCCAACAGCCGTCAGGTAGAAGTTCCATGCTGCCAAGGTCAGGATGCCCAAGATCTGAGCCAGAGCCACCACGACGTCACAACCGGGGGGTCTTTGTGCATGTTCTGAACTACTTCTACTCCTACATACTCATACTCCATACGGCCACCTTGCTGGACACACCATGTACTCAGCCAGGCCGCCACGAACAGAGGAACTGAGCCAATAATCGGGGGCCCAAACGACCCGCGAAGTTCGTCAACCTCGGCTCTGCGCAGCCAGAACTCGAACCTTGCCGCTCTGTGCAGCACTCACTGCATTCACCACGTCAAGCATGTTTAGCAAAGGAACACCACCTGCTGCCATGGCTGCGCTGAGTGCGGTTTAAGCCGCCACGCTGCGCATGTACAGTACCCGCCATGCCCACGGCAAGAAAACATGCCACAAGGGCGAAAAAATAGAGGGAGGGCTGAGTCGCCGGCCAATGTGGGGGCCACACACCTGCGCAGAGGTTCAAGAAGCAAGATTGGCTACAGCTTTGAAAGGGATTTGGTGAGTCCCATCGCACCTCTCTCGAGGGACGGAGATAAAAACAAGCCGCGCTCCCGGCGGGACTTTCGTGGCACTCACCACCTTCCAGGCGCACACTTCCAAGTGATTTGCCTTTTTCTGCGACTGTCCACGTACTACGGGGTATTCAGCACAGCGCTCTCTGCCAGACTCCTGAGTCTAGCCTCTAGCTCGAAGCTCCTTCATCGAAAACAACAACCACCAAGAACATGAACGTCCGCCCCAGGAACATGCAAACAAATGCCACCATCAAGGTCTTGTGGCTTGCCACAGCCCATAATTTCGATCACATGCGGGCACTCTGGCTTCTGACTGCTTTTTCGAAGTGCTCCTGAACCGGTCCCCCATTAAGCTAGCCCCCCCCCACTTGGGCGCTTTTTGGACCCCCTCGGCCTCGCGTGCCAAGACCTGGGCACCTTTTGGGTTTGCGGCATTGGAGCGGCCGATCACCACCTGAACACCCAATGGATCCCAACAGCCTCAAAGCTGAGCACTGAGGACCCTGGGAATCCCACCGACTTGGGGAACTTCTGCGAGTATTCCTCACAGCTTCCCGGCGGTCTTTCACAGAGCGTCAGAACTGCGCAAGAGATGTGCGAACCTCGAGCGCGCTGGCTGGAAGAACCTGATCGAAATCAAAGTCGCACCCTTTGCATCTAAAGCAGGCAAGACGTGCCCAAACGTGCCCAAGGCACCATGGGAGTGGGGAAGTCGAACTCCTCCACAGCAGTCAACCGATCCTGCCAGCGGCAAAAAGTGTCGCCTCTGGGCAGTTCTGTCAACGGCTCAAAAGGCGGTCCCGAAGGCCATTGGCCGCCCTGATGCGGTCCATCTGAGATGTATCACCCGCAACCTGCCAGACGAAATCCGGTGCCAGCTAACGCCGTCACCCCGACCGGTTGCCTTGGCAGATTCGTACTTGGCCACAAGCTCAACATTGGCAGGCTTCGCTTTGATATGGCGTCCTCACAAGCACTTTGCAACATCTTGCCGCGTCATTCGAGGACGAACCCGCGACTCACGCGACTGCAGGGTCCATCAGATAGCGTGATGTCATATCTCAGGTTCTCTACCTCCAATACGGCACGGCACCCTGCAGCTGGCTCCTTGCTCCGACCCTGAGATGCTGAGTGCACTGAGTGCACCACATCCAGCCGCCCACATTCGCCAATGCAGTCCTGAGCACTCTGTCATTGGGGGAGTGCTCTGCCCTGCACTTAGGACTCAGCATGGCTTGTACGCTTCTAGCTCAAAAAAACACTACGTCAGCGAATGGCGGGGCAATCCACATGCGAGCCCCAGTGCCATGAGCATGTCTTCCACCCTTGTTGGCTGTTGCGCCAAGTTGCATTCAACTCGATGGCGTCCAGGCCACGCAGCTTTACGATGCATCCTGTCATAACCTCGCTGGCAAGACCCGATGGAAATCTGAATTCGAGCTGGTCGCAGGCTGTTGCGCGGCATCAGTACCGCAGTAGCACTCGGCAACGTCGAGCCTTGAAGATGTTTTCCATCTTGATGCTCTTCTCGCCCTTGCCACCCTCACAAACAAACAAAGGGGCCGGCTTTTCACGCAAATCCCTCTGAAGGAGAATCGGAGAGCCTCCACACTAACGAGAAACCTCTTTGTTTCTTCGTTGTACCTGCAAAAAGCACTGAAATACAAACACACGCATACCAGTATAGCTTTTGCACGTCGCACAAGTGTCACCGCCGAATGAAACTTCTGCACCACTTGCATCCGTGTCACTCTTTCACCACACCCATGAGCCCATTGAGATCCTTTGCTCCCTGGGCCCAATCTTCTGGGTCGGGAAAACGTCTCTCATGGGGAACATCCGAATGCTTAACACGGCAGCCTTGAGGTTCAGGAGTGCAACTGGCTTCTCTTTCCAGTCCTCGCTTATCACAGAGGGGTCCACAGTCACCTAGTCAAAATGAAAATGAAGGAGGACAAAATAGAAGAAGAGGCTCCTTTTCGAAGTCGAATTCAGGGAGCTCCTCCTCCTCCTCCTCTTCGTCCGCGCCAGGCCTGCACATCTGGGCAGAGGTGCTGCGGAGCTGCTTGGCAGAGCGGCGGGAAACTTTGCCACTGTCCGGTCTGAGTGCGGGTCTCGCCAACACGCGCTTTCTTGGCTGCAGGACCTTCTGCCTCGCAGGTCTCACATGGCCCTCACATGGCTGCACAGCAGCTCATCACTGACCAGAATCAAACACTGGAGGTGCTGGGGCGCCGCGCTGACAATGCTCCCTGGGCAAAGGCAAGACGCTCTGCAGCAGTCATGGAGTCCTCGCACCGAAAGTGCACAAAGAGCTGATGCGCTTCAGCTCTTGCAAGCACTAGGCGACAGTTCTTATGAGCGTAGAAAGCTACTCCAGTTGGCCGTTCTGGTCCTTCCCCTTCTCTTTGCCTTTGCTTTTGCCTTTCTCTCCCTTTCCCTTGTCTCCTTTCCCTTTGTCTCCTTTGCCCTTGCCCTTGTCTTTGCCTTTCTCTTTGCCTGCATGACGTGTGGTGATGTCAAGGGATTTTGATGGAACCGCAGAACCTGCAAAGGCAGAGGCAGAGGTCTCGGTTGCCAGACATCCAGGCACAGAGTCTCCGACCTTTTAGCCTGGCACGCTCGCCCGGAGCATATTCGTAGGACCCGTCTTCTTTCCAGACCTGGAAGACACGAAACCGCAGCCGGGGCCCCCAAGTATCACGGATATCACGGTTCACTGGGCTGCCGGCCCCAGCCATAGCCCTCGGCCTGGGTTGAGTTGGTGGAAGATCGCTGTGCTATCGTAACCAGAAGCATTCAGAAACACTGTGCCGCACACCATGCAGAAAGGATGGCAAGAAGGAGACTACATCGAATGTCTTTTATCAAGCTGTGTGCATTCTGCTAACATCATGTATTCTTCCTGAATGCAAGCTGGTTCCGAAAGCTGTTGAACTGCGGATCGAGGGCTAGGACTTGCCACCAGCAAGGCTCTTGAGCGCTGCGCGTGCCTGCATTTGTAATGCTGAAACATTCGTGCTTCCACACTCTCGTGCTCCATGGACTGCTCTAACGAAGCAGGAAGTAGGCTTCCAAGGTTTGATTCAAATCGAAGGGGTCGAGTTGTGAGATGTGTTGTCAATGCAGAGCAGCTACCGCTCTGCAGTAATCTGCAGTAAGCCAGCCGTTAGCTCAGCCCATGTAGCAGCACGAAACCGTCATGACCGGCAGAAGCGAAGCTGGAATCGCTCACTGCAGCCACGGCCGTGACCCCACCCTTGTGCGTGTCCTTGATCTGCACCTTGGACGCAGGGTCCCGAATGTCCCAGACAAAAAGATGTCTGTCCAGGGAGCCGCTGACAAGCTTCTGGCCACCCTCGAGCCAATCCAAGGATCCGACCCTTGCGGTGTGGAAGTTCCAGTCGGAAATCTTGGCTACAGGAACCTCATCCATCAGCCCCCACACCACAATCTTGTGAGCTGCGTCACTGGAGGCAAGGTGCTCCCCTGTCGGGGAGAAGCGCAGGGCACACACTTCTGCAAGGTGGCGTTGCAAGACCGCCTTTTCCACCAGGCCATCGGCAGTCTCGTCGGCAATGTCCAACAGCTGGATGTCGTACTGTGCACTTGACATACCACCCGTCTGACCCTCGGGCTGCTCCAATGCCACAGCCACCTTCTTTCCTGCGAGGCTGGCAAAGGCAGTGGGCCTCCTCTTCACAGCCTCCGCCTTGCTCCAGAGAATCGAATCTGAAACACAATGGAAGTTCCGCTTGCCAGTGGCAACGATCAGCTTCGATTCACCAGCATCCAACCATCCTGCACCAACCATGAACTCCTTCACCTCGACCGGTGCGCTTACCTCGCCAGATTCCAAGCCAATCTTGCGGATACAGTCGTCCAGCGAGATGATCCAGGCTTCCGGCTTCCCTGCGAACGAGTCCGAGTGTCCTAGCACATGCTGAATACCCTTCCCAATACTCGCCTGGATCGTTGGCCCTGACGCCGGAGCGATGGCAACAGAACCTTCCGTCCCTCCATAGACCAAGCACTTCAACTTCTTGTCGCAGGCCAAACAGTTCAAAGGTCCCTGCGTGCCGTTGACGGTGCCAGCCAGGCTCAGCCCAGTTGCGACATCCCAGAGAAGCAGCCGTCCATCCAAACAGACCGAGACCACGCGCGTGGAGGACGCCCAAGACACGCCCACTTGCATGTCCCCCAGGCCTGTACCGACACTTGCTTCCGCCACCTGGGCGGCTGCCTCTCGGTCCCAGATGCGAAGCTTCTTGTCTCCTCCAGCCGTAACGATTTGGCTTGAGTCCGGGGACCAGGCCATGGCCCAGAAGCTGCCAGAGACACCCTCCGGCTTCGCAAACTCCTTCAAGAACTCGCCCTCCTTACCCTCGTACAAGCAAAGCTTGGAGTCGGAGCCGGCGGAAGCGAACCATGCGCCGTCCGGCGAGTAGCGCACGCTGTTGACGAAGTTGGAGTGGTTGGTGTAGGACCTCTGGGACACGACACCACGCCCCAAGACTTCTGCCGTGTGATTCTAAGAATCCAAATTTAAAAAAAAAAAAAAAAAAGACACTCTCTGGGCCTGGCAAACTTGAAGGGTGGGCCCTGGTGGAAGATCACCTGCATGTCCTCCCCTCCGGTGACCACTCTGAACGGCCGCTGCGATCGGAAAGCAATCGAGTTCACCTGCGCAGCAAACACCAGAAGAGAAAGATCTGCCATGCTCTGCGAGACGTCAGGCAACCTAGGAACCGAGACTCCAGCGACGGAAGGCAACCGAACGAAACGATCCGTAAAGCGATCTCGCTGGTCTTAAACTGCATCTACCTTCGTAGTGAACTTCCACGTGCTTTTCCAGGCGGTTTTCCGTGGGGTGTCGGGATCGGGCCTGCTTCGTGTGGCCGCTTACCTCGCCGGTCTTGCTGCCAGTGTCCCAAATCATTGCCGCCGCCCTCACCTCCTTGCCATCACCAGCTGCAACCAAGCCTTCAGTGCTGTACAATTTACGACAACGTTGTCCCTTCAGCATGACGCCCCTGCATGTAACAAGGATTCGGGGCATATTAGGGTAACGAATGGAAGGCCAGAACCTGATCCAAGACAAGTGACGGCCGTTATCGTCGCTCCACGCCACATCTTTCACAACTCCATCCTGGGCAGAATGCACATTGTTGCAGCAGCTGTGCTTTGACAGGCTAGACTGTGCACGAGCAGTGCTGCACCAAGCTAAGTGTCCCAGAGTCTGTACTCATTCTTCTGGGCGTGGTCCCCTTTGGCACCCCAGACTCTCACTGCTCCGGTGACATCACCGGAAGCAACCCACTGGCCGTTGGGGGACATAGCTGCGCAGGTGGTGTTCTTCACATGACCTGAGCGGCGAGCGCGGAAAGCTCCAAGCATGACGCTTGTTCGACACAGCAGCCCGCCTCTCCAGCAGAATACTTCCTCGGGCTTTTCGGTTCCTGCTGCCATAGCAGACACCGGCCGCCAAATTACATTGCTGCCGCTGCAGTAGAGCAACAGCTCACCTGCCAGACGTGCACACAAAATTAACCAGAACTCTAGCTGATTTTCGACTGCCAAAATCTGGTTCTCATCCGAAGACAAGCTGCCAGCTTTGTCACACGTGATGGAACAGGAGGTTCCTCTCTCGGTGGTGGGCAGCGGCGGAATAACTCGTAAAGTTTGCGCCATCGCAGGAACTTCCCCAAACACAATGCAAGAAGAAACGGGCGCTACTACTTCTATTGCTCATTGATCCTAATCAAGAGCAGTTGAAGCCAGGGCTGCCGATGTTCTCAACTACTGTCCCATGAGAAATGTACTCCGGCAGAGCATGGCTCATGTCAAGTTGGCTCGAGAGAAAGTGCGGCTTGGGAAATTCTCACAAAGTTTCACAAACAACACATTAGGCGGCATCCGTTCTCACGACTGCACCATCGCTGCACAACAGTGAAACGGCTTCTTTTGCTGTCGAAGCGAGACATGCCCAGCAATGCCAGGGACAGGGCAGGTTGGGCATGCTCAATTATGCGCCGGAGGGACCACCCTTGACAACCGGGACTAAGCTGTCTACGCTGTCTACGCTGATGCATTCACCATCCTTGAACACGCGCTCCGCGGCCCGCGACCCGGCGTTCTGAGTGAAGCCCACACGACCAGCTACAAGCATCGCTGTTCATTCAGCAACCTTGCTCTTCTTGGCTGCCGGTTCTTCCGGCTCGTAATTGGCCTGACGGCGACAAACATGCACTGCTTGCGTGATGTCTGTGCGAAGGAGCTGATGCCTGCCTCGGCACTCTTGTCAACCCAGTCGCTGTAAACATCGACTGCCTCGTGCAGACATCCGCTTGGATGCAGCTTCGACAAGCTGACAGTCAGCCTCTAAGATCTTACATCCCTCGCATGTGCGGGGGAGCCTCGCTGAGGTAGTTTATTGCTGAAGAGAAACCAGCACTGCAAACTCGACACTTCCTCAGCTCTACGGGCTCTACGCGACAATCGGTTGAGACAGTCAATCGAGGCGCACCATCTTGACCTGCCATGACAAAAAGGCTGAGCTTTGCAACTTCCACAGAAAAGGTCAGGTCCAGGTGACATCATTGCGACCCAGCGTCAAGAACCCGATCTTTTCGAGGCGCACCATCTTGACCTGCCAAGCTCAGGCCGGTTGCAATGCTGAAGATGACATGTACAGTCTTGTGAAAACAAGTGCCAACACACGCAACCCTCAACAGTCGCAGAAGCAGAAAAAGTTCGTGATACCGACGGCTCAACACTGAACGACAGTCGTACGCCAAGATAAAACGAAATCGAGCGAATGGCAGCACACCAAACATGCTGGATTAGGTGCCGCTTACATGAACACTACACAGAGCTACTACAAAGCCACACACATGGGATGCAACATCCAGCCTCCACCGCCTGCAAGCCTCCGCAGAATAAGCAATTAAACCTGCAGACGTTCATGCTTGCGAGAAGCTTCTTTTTTGCAAGTGCCACAAGGCCGAATTCAAGCCGAGATGCTTGGTGTCCAGTTTCTGCCTAGGTTTGGCAGGGGCCTGTGCCCTTGCGCGTCGCCGACCTGGCCGTCAAGTTGAGAAGGACAACTGCAATGGCAACAGGGCCACTCAAACTCAAGATGCAGGTCAAAACATTGCCCAGCCACCCATAATGCGCTCGATGTATCAACATGCAAAGCATAGAAAATGTGCTACATCGGCTTCCTCGCGATGTCGATGGGTCTGACATGATGTGTATGCAAATTGTCTGCCGACATCACAAATGCTGCATGTTTCTTAGCTTACAAGCTGCAACAACGTTGACAAATGCTTTGAGAATCAATCTTCAAGATCAACGGCATCTAACTTACCCGGGGCTCTAGAATGACCCAGAAAACGCAGCAGACTAAACGCAAAATGCAATGGTTGGGGAGTCGTGAACAAGGACAAGCCTGCGAAAATACCCCATGGTTCCGATGCGGCAGTTGCCCTATTCGAAACGGGCCCCAGGCCCCAGCGGATGGAGTTCCCCCAGGCAGCTGTTGAAACTATAGCACGGCAGCTGGAATCCTGTCAGTGACAGCCTACGCGGCAGTGAAGGCAAGCCACCATGACACTGCGGCTGCGCTGTACAGGGAGTCAAGTTCATTCCCGAAACCATTGGGGCATGGGACAAGGAAGCTGCGTGCTGCGGCTTATCGCGGTGGGTACGGCGAGCAGGTTGCAAGAACTTTCCCTGTGCATCAGGCGCTTCCGCGCCCGGCCGCTTTGTGCAGGACGGCTGAATTGCAAGCGGCCGCACTGACCCGGTGCTGTCAACAGACGTCGGCACTGTCGTCCATCCAGCCAACGCTTGGGTTGGCCATGCTTCCTCGGCCTCCGCTCGGGTCAGTCAAGCCCTCCTTGCCCGTCTTCCTGCCGGTGCCGGCTTGTGGGGTTCTGTCTTGGCCGACTTGTTGGCCAATTGTTACCTCAGCTGCGAAGACTGGCTCAGGAAACTCCGGCTCCAACATTCCTTTCTTGTTCAAATGGTCTATTTGGATTTGGTGCTTCTAGCACATAAGCTTCCCGCAGCCTGTGATCTCCTCGACAAAAGGCACATCACGTCATGTCTTCTTGGGTTTTTCTTTGTCTTTGGGTGGCAAATGGTTTTTCAGCCATTTTCCACGCGTCGCGATTTTCCGTGATCCCCTCAATGGGGGCTCGGAAACGTACGTTACTCTGACGCGGGACTCTAGCGTACCATATTGAGGCGGGGCACGTGTCATTTAACTCCAACTGTATTCGCTCCTCTCTTTCTCACACTCTCACTCACTCACTCACTCACTCTCTCTCTCTCTCTCCAGCACTGCGGACCATCCATATCCACATATGCGACGTGCTTTACAACCCGCAGTTGCAGGTCGGCTTCTCGGTTGGAAGCGACCATAGGGGAAAGAATGAAACAACATACCGTGCAAAGTACGGCGCAGGCCCAAGCTACGCTGCACTCTGGTTTGATGGGGCTGGAAGTGGGCAGCATGAGCCTATGTACAAGGTGAGTGACAGTATGCGCAAACACTCCTGCGAGCTGTCTGCATTGGGCAAGGCACGCGTGATATGTGCAGAGTCACGTTCGCAAGAGAGAAGGAAAAGGGAGAATCACAGAGAGAGAGAGAGAGAGCGAGAGCGCACAGAGAGACAAAGGGGCGGAGACACGAAGAAGAAAAGAAAGGAGGGCTGCTCTCAGGGGGTCCCTTGCCAAAGCTCATCTTCTACACCGAAGCAAGGGACATCTCAGAAGTAACTCCAACTATGCGGAAAGCTATCGCGACAAAGCATCCCTTGATGTGTTAAACATTCGTCGCAAAAAACGCATTCAAAAGGCTGCACACCACATGCTCAGGGCAATCACGTTGCCAAAGCACACGGTCCTTGTCTTGATCTTCCCCTGCTTTTCAAGCTTTAGGTTTAGGTCTCGACCCGCCGAGTCTGTAGTCATACCCTTTTTTCGCACTTGGTGCTGCCGGAGGGAGGAGGAGGGCAGGTGCATGTCTCTGTCATGTAGTCTATGAGACTATCACGGGCCATCGTCGTCTACAGGATTATGTGAAACCGCAAGACGCGAAATGCGGTCGGCAGACTTACACCTGGAAACCTCATAGGCAACACGCAGCGGAGGCCGAGGAAGCATGGCCAACCCAAGCGTTGGCTGGATGGACGACAGTGCCGACGACTCAAAGAGAAAAAGGAAAAGGACACAGGAAACAGCGATTAAGACGAGACCCCTGGAGAAGGCAAAGTAGACGGGCAGAAAGAGAAGCCTAAGGAGATTAAAGGCGAAGAGAAAAAAACAGCGATACCCCTGGCGAAGGCTCAGTGCAAGGTGTAAGTTCCCAAGCAAGGAAGATACGTGCACCTGATCGAGAAGGGCAAGAACCTCGTGAAGCGTTTAAAGAACCGGTTTGATGCCGGAATCGTTAACACGCTGGAGGCAGTTGTCAGATGGGTAAGTTGAAAACCTACTGCCCAGAACACGCTGACAGAGATCCGAATTGCTCGCGAGATCAATGAAGAAGAAAGTGCCACCATGGTTGCGACATTGATTACATGGAAATGTCGCTGGATGAGACGAAAGCTACGTTGGAAGAGCTGCTGAACGACAAGAAGGATTGGTTGGCGAAAATCAAGCACTTGGATGAGCAATGGAACGAGAAAGACAGGGAAGCGACGACGTTGGAAAGCAATAAACCGAGGACGTGACAAGAAATTTGGACAACCGCCGTAAGGTTGAAAAGTTTCTGACAGGCGTGGAAACAAAGATTAAACAAGAGCTTCAGGAGTCGAGGAGAGGAGGAAGTTGAAAGGGCAAGCAACGTTGCTGCGCCGACTCCTGCAAGCGAAATCCAGCAGATGAGCAAGAGTTCGAATCAAGGAAGAAGGAACAGCTGGAAAGGATGCAGCTTGTGATCAAGCATGCTCTGGAAAAGGATGAAGAAGAATCTTCGAAGAAAAGGAAAAGAGCAGAGGCAAAGCCAACACCACGTTTTCTGAAAGACTTGCATTTCAAGAAGACTGAAAGCGTGGCGGTGAAGGCAAGGCAATCAAGAAAATGCCGACGAGGAAGGATGAAGAGCTAGAAGAAGAAGAAGAAGAAGAAGAAGAAGAAGCGAGCAGCAGCAGAAGAAGAAGAACAAGGTGGAGGAGAACTTGCAGAGGAGCAAAAAGAAGAAAAAGCAAAAAAGATGGTCTGCGGCGCAATTCGTGTCCGTGCTCAGCGAACAATAACCCAAGGGGAACGAGAAAAGGTGATGCTCAGACCACCAGTAAGTGGTAAGCAAGCACTCCCGCGTTGTCAACAACGTTGCAACTATTGTGGTGAAAGCCTTCAGGGAAGACTGCTGGACCAAAGAAGGAAAGATGGAAGCGCGCCAGTTGCAATGATCGATAATGATCAAGAAGGCGAAAGGAGAAAGCAAAGGATGAGGACGAGAAGAAAGAGAAAAGAAGAAAGATAAAAAGCCACTGAAAAGGTGATCAAGGAGTGCAATGAAGAGCAGAGGAAGAAGAAGAAGAGGAAAAGGAAAAAGCCGAGAAGGAAAAGAAGAAGGAAAAGCGAAAAGCTGCAGAAGAACGTGAAAAAGGAAGACTGTGGATGAGAGAGCGGAACTGCAAAAATGTGAAGACCAACAGGAACAAGAAATTTGGGGCTGCATCCCGTTACCCTTCGGCGAAACGGGCTTGGGGGGGGGGTGAAGGTCTGAAGGCTTCGAAGGCTTCGAAGGTGAGGACGAAGGCTTCGAAGGCTTCGAAGGGTGAGGACGAAGGCTTCGAAGGCTTTGGAGGGTGAGGACGAAGGAGCTTCGAAGGCTTCGAAGGTGAGGACGAAGGGGGCTTTGAAGGCTTCGAAGGCGAGGACGAAGGGGGGAGGGCTTCGAAGGCTTCGAATGTGAGGACGAAGGCTTCGAAGGCTTCGAAGGGTGAGGACAAAGGGGGGGGGGGCTTTGAAGGCTTCGAAGGGTGAGGACGAAGGGGGCTTCGAAGGCTTCGAAGGTGAGGACGAAGGGGGCTTCGAAGGCTTGGAAGGTGAGAGACGGGGGCATCTCTAGAGTCTCACTTCTCTGAGTTTCGAAGAGTGAGATCCAAAAATGAGATCCAAAAAACAAAACAAGATTCGGGGGGGTGGAATTTAGAAGAAGTCCCTTCTCTCTCATCTTCAAAAAGAAATTACAGGCCTTCGAAGGACAAGAAATTGAGGGGGTGGAATTTAGAACAATTCTCCACTCTTCTCTTGTACAGACTTCGAAGGACAACAAGAAACTGAGGGGGTGGAATTTTGGAGTAATTCTCTTCTCTTCTCTTCTACAGGCCTTCGAAGGACAAGAAATTGAGGGGGTGGAATTTAAAATAATTCTTCACTCTTCTCTTCCACAGTTATCAAATTTCCCCAAAATTCTTGAAAGTCCCAATAAGCAATCACTCATGCCCTACTTCATTCCACTTGACGATATAAGTCTCACAATCAGAGGCGCTCTTTTCCTCTCTTGGCAAACTGGGGATGCATCACGAGTTCAGCACTACGTGCACATTGCACATCGCGGGTTCATCCCGTCGACCACATTTGGTCAAGTTCCCCGGTCTGCTTTAGCACTCATCTAGCTGGTTA